AATGTCTCCCGCCAACCCACTGCTGACAGACCACCACGCCACCACCGTCTGTTTTGCGTAGCTAAATCGACACCCTCGTTCTAAATCTTTCTACCCTCTGCAGAGCATGTGTACGTGATACGATACAAAACACACCCAGAACAGTCAAAGCACCACACACACATAATGAATTTGTCGACAGGCAATTACACAATATATTTTGCACTTATTTATACATGAACGCATATTGCTATAGCAACAACGAGGAAGAAGGCTAAATGCAAAAAAAAAATACTACGTCTAAATTTCCGGAAAAACAATAATACAATTATTTAATAATGCCCTTGTGCATGTAAAAAAAAAATATACTATAAAATCAAAGATAAAAAACTAACAAATCAAAATGTTTCCTGTAGGTAAGTTCATTTATATAATAAAGAACTTGACACTACCTAATTAAACTATGGTGACGAAAAAATGTCGTTGTTCGTCGTCACAACATTAATTAAGGTCTTTTTTCATCAACGTACAATAATAATTATAAGTAATCACAGTTAATACCGGTAATGATTTTGACAAAACTTCAAGAGGGGAGTGAACTCAGTACTATAGAACAAAAGCATATTGTAAAAAAAAATGTTTTTCATCATTTTGGTGATAATTGTCTAAATATATTTAGTTATATTCTCGTTATATTTTAAAACTTTTTAACATAGTTAATGTTAAAAATTTTCGTAAATTATTATTTTTTAATATGTACATTTCAAAAAAAAAAAAAAAAAAATAATAATAACCGAATTCTAAAGAATGATCACTCACATTTTCAACCGTCAAAACGACCACTGGAAATTTGTATACTACGGTAACTTCCATCGAATAAAGTACAAACCGCAATACGACACGTTACCAACGCGTGTTCCGGAACATCGTATTTCAGCATAAAATATGATGTGTAGGTACTTAATACTATATTGTCAGGTTTTCAAAAGGTTATTTATAATATTATAATGGAAAAAAAAAAAAACAGTAAATGAACCAAAAAAAAAAAAAAAATTAAATACCATTAAACATATTATATTATTAATTATGAAAATTATCAATAAACAAAACACGACATGTAACTTTAAAAGATTGAATAATAACATGATTATATTGTAAATTTACATTTTTTTAACGTTATACCTAACATTATTTCATTATTTTTATTATTAGGTAAACCATATAGATACTTTGATATATTAACCAATTCAACGTTGTCTAATCTGCATTAACAATATTATACATTTTCCGGAATATTTTAATACTGTCCATCTATAAATATGATGTATTATATTATATTATTATTAATATAACCATACAGTATGTATATTAATTTATTTCTGTAATTCAAATAATTATTATCATGTTTACGTTAATTTTAATTCGTATAGAACTAGGATTGTGTAATTTAATTTATATATTTTAAATGTTAAAATAATGATTGGAAATAATCTAATAATCTGGTTAACAAATTCTACAAGTTTCATAGCTTATAGTATTTTATAGATAAATTATATATGAAGAACAACTATAAAAGTGGCTTGTGTATTACGCAGTAAAACAACTCTAATAAGAGTGATATTTGAAAAGTATGTTGAAAATCATGCACATAATTTATTTTTATTTTTAAAATTAAAAAAAAAAAATAAGCATTTAAGATAAAATCTGTAATATAAGGGTATTGTCTGGGTTAATTATGAAATCCGATGATAATTTAGTTCATGTATTTTTAATACATTTTAAATGTAAATTTTCATCAAAAAATATTACAATCAGCCAACAATTTTTGTTAAAAAAAAAAAAAAACAAAATGGAACATAATAGATTGATGTTATTTTTTTATGAACAGGCAGTTATTAGTAAGTATTTTAAATTAGCATGCAAAACTAAGAAGATAAAGAAAAATAGTTTTTAATTTCCACTTTATAGTTATGCACCATTAATTACAAACAGGTACTCATTCTACATCTTCAACCTTTTTGTTTTTATAAACTAAATTTACTTTACAGGATCTCATTCCTTATATGTTGGATTTTCGAAACGCAATTTATATAATCATATGATATAATTTCAAAATTATTTTTTATAAATGAATTATAAAATGTGATAAATAAACTCTAAAATGTATTACAAAACAGGTAAGAGTTTATTATTTATTTTTTCCCATTTAAATTCAATTAATCTAAAATAATAATATTTTTATTCAATTGAATGTTTTATTTATAAAAAATTGAATGAATTACTTGTTTCAGAGAAAATTGATATATAAAAAAAATAAAACTTTAATACTTAACTGTTAAGAGTTGTTAATATTTAATTTTTTTTTTTTTTTTTTATTAATTACATCCACATCATGTATTACTATAGTATATCGTACACTTCGTAATCAATAATTTAATAGTTCAAACGTATGCCTATATAAATATAGGTATTATATTCTATTTAATTACGAGTAAAATATTTTAAAATTTTATTCAATACAGTTTATCCATGGCAACGCGTGTTTAATATGAAGTGCACAATAAAATTATGATTTAAAATTGCTTGTTTTTAAATTAAAAAAATAAATTTAATTAACTTTGCACATGTCTCGAGGTTAAATTATATAGTAATTATCTTTAGTATATTTGTATAATATAATATAAACTATGTCTATTATGTTAATATTTTCTAATAAATTAAAATAAAATAGAATTATATAATACATATATTATTATAAAATAAAAATATAAAGTATTTGTGAAATCATTACTGAATGCTTTTGATTGCTATTAATGCAGTTAAAATTATTGAAGTGTATAAGTAATACATCGTTTTTAAGTCAATAATAAATTGGTGAGAAATTAAAAACTATATGATTTAAATAAAAAATATTAAAGAACTCATTTCTAAATGTAATTTTTTCATTGAATATTCCATCGTACAATTGATGGGTTAAATTTAAATTATATGAAAAATCGTTGGAGGTAAATTAGCCTAAATTTAGAATAAATATTTTAAAAATTTAAGCCAGTATTGAAAATAATAATGTATATGTAATGATAAAAGATTTTAAGTTACTTTTATTAACATGTTTATACTATAGTAATTTAAATAAAATTCATTGTGTTTTATTGAATATTAAATTATGATAAGCTGTTCACTTTTAACACAAGTAAAAAAAAAAAAAATGATTATGACTATTTTATCATCATTATTTTATAATTTTTTTAAGAACAACTTATAGTAAAACTTGAATTACATCATCACATTTTCTCTTCTAAAACATTATGACTGAAGACTGATAGAAAAATAAAAAGTAACAGCATTGTCCGTACTTTTCTCAGAATCTAAATTTGAACGAGTAAAAAGTTTACGGGTTAAGTATGTATATGGTAGATATAACAGATATATCCAGAAAGTTTGAAAATATTTTAGTTAAATATTAAATATTCTTTGTTTAAAATGTTTCAAACTATCTAGACACTATTAAATATTCGAATATATAAGTACAAGCTGATATGCTGATAATTATATATATATATATATATATCTACTAACATTATGAATGAATATTTTATCGGAACAACCGAATAAGAATATATTCAAGTATTTATAGGTGAGTTACATATTATATATTTATATCATTAAATAAAATGTTAAATTATAACAAAAACATTAATTAAATAATTTTAAACGGAATGTAAAATAAATATAATTTAAGTATAATTATAGTGAGTTACGTATTCAAAGATAAAAATATTTCAACTTTCAGGCGTTATTTTTTAATTTATTTGACGAAATTTATAAAAAAATTATGTTTGCTTAGTTTTAAAACAACAATATTTATACACTCATAGGTATTTATTATAGTTATTCTTATTGCAGATATTAAAACTATGTATATTATTTATTATTACACGTATTGCGCACGATTATTGTTATGTTAATTATTTATTATTTGTTTACTTTACTGATAGATTATTACACTGTCGTTCAATAAAAGATATATTACAGAATCACATTTTTACAGTAGGTAGTGATTCAAACATACACAACAAATTTCACAAAGACCGACGTATATATGTATTATCATAATTTTAAAATCGAATGAAACGTAATTTTTCACCACATTTTGTGTACCAAGATTAGTCAAAATACAAGAACATTTCCGGTAAAAAATCTTAAACTCTACAGTAGGTACACATGCATATTAAACACGTATAATACGTTATACTCATAACTATGTAACATACCTGAGTTGACGGGGATGATGACATGTATATATAGTAATACACATTCTCAACAGACAAATTCTATTTTTTTATATGTCGTATACACGATATAATATATAGTGTTACCCCTGATGAGATAATTTTATGTAAATGTATGCGACGAAAAAAATTATACGTCGTGTATACGCGTTTATATAGAAACAATATCCCATGCTTGTACCCATTATTATTATTATTTCTTTTATTTATGCATGCACACAAACATTTACTAGTTAGCCCGGGGACAATAATTATTATTCGCTTTTTTTGCATACGATTAATGAACGTTCTCACCGGTCCAGCGGTATTCGTTTGTTTTGTTTTGTTTTGTTATTTTTTTCACATCCTTTATATCCGTTAGGTATTTTTTTCTTCTCTCATTGATTATATACATAGGTATATTGTATATACGATGAAAGTATTTTTAAAGAACCCTCGATGAGACTACTGCATCAAACGAGCATACACACCCGACCCCATACCGACCATATCGGAATCCCTTCAAGGAAGACATGCGTCCTCTTTCTCATACAAAAAAATTATGCAGATTAGTTTTTCTGTCCAAAACAATGGTCTACTGATTTTTTATATACCACGTGTATACTTGGGGTTTTTGTATACAGTATAATAATAATAATAATAATAATAATAATAACTGGTTTTTGTCACATATTATGTACCAACACAATTCCGAGATGGATAGTACAGTCAGTAGTATAGCACTGCAGAACGTGGCGGCTGCAACAAAATGTGTAAATAATTTTACAAAAATTACATTGCGCTTTCGTGTACCTATTTTCTATATCTAAGCTATGTAAAATATAAGTGCATCTGGTTGTAAAATTTGTCGCCGCCGCCATAGCCTCCACCAAGTGCGAATTATGGTGTTCGTTATCGACAATTTTTTTTAATGACTACTAAGACTTCGTATGTATACATAATACATATTATATAGGTAATTATAAGAATACTCTTCTGTTATAATAATAATAATATTTTCATAGTAACGGGTTTTCTGTAATTTATTATTTTATTGTATTAAACTTGGTTTACTAATATTTTTACTATATATAGGTTTAATCATTTTTATAATTTTTAATGGTATAAATTTTATCAAGTCATTTCAAAAAAAATGTGTAGTATAATAACATGTACATATTATGTGATATAATATTTGAAATATTTATACCCATATACCATAATATTATTGTCGTGGAAAATTATTTTCTTAAATCATATTTTTTTTATTATTTTGCCAAAACGCGTGAAATATGTTTATTTTATGTTTGTAGAATTGATTATATTATATACAAGTTACATGTTAACAAAAAATATTTATGAAAATAAATTTGGAATTATAATAATTACATTTACGTATATACACAGTTATTATATTTACGCTTCGTTATCCAGTTGCTTCACAAGATTTTCCCGAGAGCCTTGTTAAGCTACACACTTCCCTTACCTGCCACCAGAATTCAACGAGAAACCCCTCTATTTATTTTTCTCGTTTTTAATAATTTATCTCTCGGTCCCCAAGACAGTGAAAAACATGCATTTCCTTTTACTATTGGTTTATAACGTACTTTTGTAACGTGTTAATTAATCTATTAACAAATGTTATCATAAAATTATCAGCTTTTTCCAAAACAATAAATATATAAATGTATAATAAAAAAATTAAGAACTAAAGGAAATAAAGAACATATTGTTGCAGTATAAAGTAACAAGACTTAAAACTTAAAAAGTTAAAGTTGTATATTTAATTTGGAATTTCTTTGGTAAAGATTAAGTGTTAAACAATTTAGCAATTTTAAAAATCCAAAATTTTGATTATATTAACTAAATAATTCAATTTAAATTTACTAAATATATATTTACAAACTTGCATGTGTTATCTTTGACTTACTAATATATCAGATTACGTTCAGTAGTTTTAATTTAATAATCTTAGCTTAAATATTGGAGCAAATTAACCTTTTGTAAAACTTGAAGGAAAAGTATATTAGTGTTATCTGTTGATTTTTTACGATATTTTAATTTTTAAGCAAGTTATTAAATGTACTATAAAAACGCTTACAACTAAAAATTTCTCGTTTAAAATTTAAAATATTATAAAACTAAGATAAATCTAAATTTGTTAATATACGGTCAATTTATTATAATATTTTAACTAACAACACAAAATTAGAGTTATTGAACACAAATTTACCATGTTTTCCATATGCAAAACAAGATACAACAAATTCAGGATTAACATCTTTTTAAGTAACTATAAATTCTTAGAAAGTATACCGAATAGTTTTGATTATAAAATTATCAGTAGATATAAGTACATTAAATTAGTCCAATATATTTTCATTTAACTTAATAAATAATAATTTATTTATAAACAATAAACATACGCCCAAACCAATAATATTCTAAAATCCATGTCGTTTTTAAACATCATTTTTTTAGACAGTTGTATATGAGAATATTATACATGAAAAAAAAATTAGTGGAATATTCAGTGAAGTAGTAAAATTAAACGAACAATTTCCAAGAAAAAAACAGCCATTTTTGTACGCTAAGAGAGCTAGTTATATTTTAAATATTATATAGGTGTATACATATTATATATTAATAGAGAGAGAGAGAAAGAGAAAGAGAGTTCAAAGGAAGCCAACGCGATTGCGTTCGATTCAAATACCATGAGCGGTGGAGGGAAAATCTAAATTACAATGGAAACGAAGAGGGGAAATGTCACAGACAGAGTGAACTGAGGAGAGAAATTCGCGAATAATAAACGTAAAAGTATATTCTGAAAACGGAAAAGAAAACGCCGGCAGCTGCTGATGTAATAATCATAAAAAAAAAAGGAATAAGAAAAAAGGAAAAAGGGAGAAAAGTTCACCATCAGGCTGCAGTTATACTATAGGCTCGATATTAAATCTGGACGTCCGTTCGTCCTTCCCCACTGCCACTTCCGTCTATGTTGCCGTGTGAGTTGTATTATATGAAATGTAATTTCTTTACTGCAATAAAATAAAATTAGTTTCCTCACTGGAACTTTTATATATATATACATAGATATTTTTTATAATAATTTAATAACGAGTATATTTACAGTACTGATAAAAATGTCACATTAAAAGTGTCAACCGTAACGTGTAATAAGAAAATTATTTATGCTATTTATAGTATTTTAATTAAGTCCGTAATTGAATATATATTGTATATCTGTTACCATTCCTTACACAGCTTCTGATTAATATCAATATGAAATTATTACTACATTTTTCTACTGTAATTGATAATATAATTTAGATCTTTTACTTATATGTGTGTACGTAATATATATCTGAAAATTCTAAATGTTTGATAAATTTGAAATTAAAAAAAATAATGCATAACTTATATATTATATGTAATAACAATTTAAAATTATATAATATGATAATCATAATTAAATAATTCACTGAATTTAAAAATTTGAAATTTACTAATATTTATTACGTAGTTATTACTATATGTATATTATATACTAATATTTTTTCATATATTTTTTTACTAACTATATGAGAGTAATATAAAAAAAAAAAAAATTGATCATAACTCTTATTAATTATTAACTCATTTTTATATTAAAGTAAATTCACATGCAACATGGGTACTTTATGTCTTTATGTAAATTTACATAATATAAAAAGACATGGTGGTTAATATTATTAAACTATTTAAAGCGTAAACTTACTACACATTTATAAAAATAATTAAGTTAATAAAAATCAGTATATTTATTAATTTTAATTATAAAAACTTTTGTGGTATCTATCACACTAAAGTCTAAACTTAACCTGGTACCGGGTCCTTGTCAAATAAAATACTAAAATTCAATAACACTGATTATATTATGTATTTAAATTTATATTAACGTACATGTTCTTTTATTAATAAAAAGTATGAATAGAAAATAAGATAAACAAATAAAGTGAACATTCTTTATAAAAATTGATTTTAATAAATTTATCAAAGTTAAATAGAAGTAGTAAAAAAACATTAGTATTCGATGATATCCTATAAAATAAACCTTAAATATTTTCCCCTCTTTTAGTTATAATAATATTTAATTAAAAAAAAAAGTTGCGGAAAATCTTTTATTCCGGTCAAAGGAAAAGAACCCTTATTACCTTTTAAATGTTTTAACACATATTAAAGTCTTGCGTCTAATTTGCAATTAGCCCTCCGATTAAATATCTTGGTGTTTATACACAAGCCAATCTAATTATCGTTAGAATGTTTATAAATATATATTTAGGGTAAGGTAGGTATATAGATATTGTAAAAAATACACCAGTATTAAAAAAAAAAAAAAAAAAAAAAAAAAAAAAAACGGTTAATGATAGTATCAGATTACGAGTACTTTTTGCTTTTTAATAATACTTCCGGGACCTTTCTCATTTTTTTCCTTGACGAGGGTTGGTTGGTTTATACTAGCCCTTAAAGAAAAGCTCTTAAAGGGGACGTTTGAGCAATATTCACGAATTGCATGGTTTATACACAATTATACTATAAGAATATAATACATACATAAAAATATACACACTCATATACGACGTTATACAAAACCAACAACGATGTACATTTTACATGGTGGAATGGAAATCTTCTTATTAATCAATGCTCTTTCCTCCCTTATGCGATCCTCGGGTCTTACTCAAGTATGCTCATATACAACGGCTGAGTAAAAGGGAGACTGAAAAAAGTTTTTTAATTTAAAGAAAGTTTTTTTCCATTTTATAAAATCTGTTTGAGCGAGTACTTAAGTGCCATTACAAGGTTGAAGCAAAAATAAATAGATAACGAGAACCTAATTTATTTATATTCACGGTATTTGTATTTCATTGTAAATTATGGTCAGAAAACCTATTCATATATACGTGTTTAAACATTATTATTTATTATAATACTAAATAAAATAAGTAAATTTATATTTATTTTTTTATCATGCAACTTTTTAACCATCTAAAATATACTGATTATATAAAAGTTCAAAATTTTATTATATTAACGGGCAAATAAAACGATATCCGTATAAGGCATGATTTGGTTGGTTACATACTTACATAGCTTTTGGGACACTACATTAAATAATAAAATAATAATAATAGGTGTACGTCTTTAAGCAATTAGCAGAATAAAATTTTAAAAATGTTATACAAACTAATATTTAAATTATATGCGTATGGGGAGTTATAGAGCATTATTATAGTATTACACAAAAAAAAAAAAATTATGAACTTTCAGCGCCTTAATTTAAAACTTTAACAAGTAAAACTGATCATTTAAAAATATTTTTTCCTATACTACTACACCAGTCCAATAAGACACTACTTAATTCGAAAATTAAAACAATAATACTTTTTAAATAGTTATAATTTATCAACAATTCTCTAAATAAAATTCTCCGTATTTTTTAATAAAACTTGAGGTTACGCTAACTATCTAATTCTATATGTAATGGAGAAATGATTAAATCTAAAATATTTTTGGAAATCTTTAGAAATATTTTTGTAATATTTTTTAGAAAGTTAAAATTTATTTTACTTACACTTCTATAAACGAATACAGAGTTACTTAATTAATTACGATGAAGATTAAAGTGTAAAAATGTTATTGAATTAGAATTCTTCTTGATTGTTTCATTAAAAATTGTCTATGATTCTATAACTATTTCAACCGTTGAAATCTGATAAACTTGAAAATCATGGTTCTAATCTAACCTACTGTGAAAATGTTTATAATAGTGTAAATATGCTGTATTTAATTCTGCACTACACATTAGTAGATTATGCGTTGTCACACATTCTAGGTATATTTTATAATTTTATAATATTTTTTAAATACCTTCTATACAATAGTAACAAAATTCAATTTTAAAAACCATGAACCTAACCTAACCATTTTTAAATA